AACACAACGCTTAAAGCGAAATCCTACTCTCAGCATACTTATATTACTATCGAACAGAAATGGTTGTAAATAGTGGCATTCATCAGTTTTTTTTTTGTATATTTGATGGTTTCTTTGCCGAATCAATCATTTTTATTTAATACTCTTGCGATCAATTTACGCCTATATTTTAAAACGAGGGTGGAGGACTTGAAATTATAGGGATATAAGTTAGTATATACAAAAAAAAAAAAAAAAAAAAAAGATTAAAGATATTGATTAACGTAATATAATATAGATTGGATGGAGGGGTATTATGAAAATGTAAAATTAACATTATAAAAGTACAATGATGTATTGATGTGTGTAAATTATAGGTATGTTTTGAATAATGACGATAACGAAAATATACAAAATAATTACAAATTTATAATATGTTCATGAGGATTGGGGAAAAGGTGTGATATTTTTTTTAGGGTTCATGCCAAATCACCCGTGCATTATTTGATTTTTCAATTTCTTCATCTCACCGGTTAGACCAGCTATTCCGTACCATATCTTGGTGCCGTAGGATTTTTCTCTTAAATGAGCACCGCACTGCGTCACACCATCCCCGTCAATCGCCTGTTCGTTTATTGCAGCATCCACACTTTTGGGATCACTTAATGCGGGCACATTTTCTAACAAGCATCTCATTATTTCAACACGTTTATGCCTGATGAGAGGAGTGCGACAAACAAACGAAGGTTAGAAAGTGACAACCAAAATTTATAGTGAAATGCGACGGGAGTTGGTTAATCACCTGGCGGCAAACACGAAAGCGTTCGGAAAATACTTGTCTCTCGGCATCGTCTCACATCCATAATTAATCAGTAACTTCGCGTACACCGGATCGTCGCACAATAAAATGATGGCGAATAGGATGTTTGGTAACTTGTGCGCGTCAAGCTCGTTTGAAATCTGATCGCGTAATCGTTTTGGCTTGGGGATTTTTGTGTTGGGATTTGCCCCTTTGTCGAGCAGTGACTTGGTTTGCATTATATCTGGAGGTGACCCACCGAATTTTAATTCCTCAACGAATAAACGCTTCAATGCATTGTCGAGTTCATCTTGAGGTATCTTCTTGGGGGATTGCGGCGGTATCAATGGGTTGAGTACTATGGGGGCATATCTTTTGGCAAAATCGTGGATCCTTCCGCTGCGAGCCCGGATGAATGGTTCGAATAGCTTGGGAGTTTTCCACGCTGCATTATGACCATTTATCACTGAAGGTCAAAAATCAAAGAAAGATTCGTCAATTGACGCTCGAGGCATACGATGTGGTCATTGTGAGATGGAGGTCAATCAATAATTACCTGCCGCCACCAAAAATTTTTTTAATGAGATCGTGTCGTAAAAGATTGGAGGATTAGGTGGTATCGGACCGAAATGCGGAACCCCATCTTTGTAGACAATGTCCACACTTCCAAATGAAATAAACCAAAAGGTCAAAGATTTATTGAAGGAATCGAAGAGGAAACCATCGGTGATTTCTTAACGCATACCTATACGCATTACTTCCATCGATTGTTTTCACAGGACTAACCACCAGGTACACGTGCAAGAATTGCGAACGTATAGATAGCGGAGAGAATGGTTCCGGAGCGTCTTGAAATACTATGCACACAATGTCTAAGATTGAATTACACATTGTATTCGTGATTAGAATTTTAATGCTACAAAATCATATTTGGCGAGAGAAGAGAGACCTACCATTTCCGATGTGTTTTTTCCTGGTGATTTGATGCTTATCTTTTCCACAGGGCAACATTGTGCTCACGTGATACATTATCTCGAAATCATTCCAAGTTCCGCTGTCGTAAATCGAGTATTCACCCGTTTCGCCCGTCTTCGTGTCTAGCCCGCCTTTAAACCCTTGCCATCCTTGCAACCGAATTTTATCCCCCAGAATCCCCAAGAAATTGTCGTATTCGAGTGATACCTTGGTGTTAGAAAACCATTCATCCTCGGTTTTTTGCGACGGAGCACAATACAAGACGCCAATTTTGTAGGATTTTTGGAACTATTTGGAATGACAAATGAATCAGCAAAGTAATAAAGTGGATAAAAGTTCACGTGAGAAAATCCAAAGAATGATCGATCATTACTCGTGATTCATCCAAGCTTAAAAGCTCCTCGCTTAATTCCGGTGTTGTTATGAATTTCGTCAATTTCCCACCGGCAAAATCTTTGTTAATCATTCTCAGTAGATCATCCCATATAGGTTCCCCGAACGGAGACACCGATGAGCCAGCCAATACACCTTTATCATCGGGTAACTGTAGAAAATATGCATGGCATGTTACACGAGCCAAAACCAGTATTCAATATATGCACGTTTACATATTCATAACTGTCAGTACCTCTTTCGTTCGCACGATGTATCTATACCAAGAGATACCCTCCCGGTTGGACTTGATCGTTATGGTGTCTAATATTATTGAAATTACCATTGGACCATATGGTTCGATTGTTCCTATGAACGTCGGGTGATCTAAGATTGAAGAATAACAAAAGCGAACGAATCTTTTAGTCCAAGGAAATTAATTATGCAACATAACCATTTATTTATTTTCAATTACCCCTTCCGAGAAAATATTTTCGATACCAATTCGCTCGCATGTCCATATGTTCTATCTGATGCTCTTCATACCTATCACCGGACATTTTTCTTTCGTATGGGTGATAAGAGAACTGGGATGCTATAGGTAAGGTGTGCTAATAAACATAAAAGTTGGAATGAAGTGTAAGGTTCAGCAGACAATTCACGTGATATAATGAGCTTGAAGGGTGAATTTATGTCCAAGGTTCACCGGGTTAACCCTAGAGTGTATTCACCTGAGTATATGCGGTTGATGTGGTTGATACAGTTGATAATTCGCTTGTTACACTTGTTCTCTGCTCATACTCACTCGAGAAACTCGAGTTCGAACGATAATGCGATGATGAATATGTCATCGTGCGTTCTGTATTATTATGAAGGGTGAAGGGAAAATGCCGTTATGACCGAGAAATGCTTCTTTGCGACCGGGGGGGGGGGAGAATTAAAAGTGACCAAAAAATTAGAGTCGAGTCCCGATATTTATTATTTCTGGATGAGGGATTTCAAAAGTATCCAATGATAATGAGCTCGGCGATAGGGTTAAAAATAAATAAACACGAATTTATGGAGTCAACAAAATTAAATGAAAGAAAGTAAGAAAAAAAAAAAAAAAGAATACTGGTACGAGGAAATTTTATTCTGTCGGATTCATTTATATTTGATACCATTTAGGTGATGATTGC